GCTAGACGAAATCACAGACTCCAGTCCACAAAATCCTTAAAACCAGAGAGCAGAGTCAAATCTCGAGGTTTCCCCCCACAGGAAAGCCCAGATCTCTCAAGAAATCAACAATGCACCACACTGGCACAGTCACTAAAACCCAGATATACCATTATATATAAAAAAAAAAAAAAAGACCAACAATTAAAATAATAAATAAATAGCAACTCTATTTCTCACCTTACTAGTGCCGTCATCATCATCAAGTGTTTATGTCGTGCACATCTCTAGCACATCTGGTAATGACCTCGCAGCCTCTGTCATAAGAATTTGCTGGACCAGGATGGCATTCATAATATGAAACGCCTGGTCTTGAACAAGGAACCATGTCCCTCCTAAGGGTGTCATAGCTTATATACTTCTTCTGCAACATCAGAACTCTCCTACTGACTTCTGATTCCATTTCTGGCTCAGTCAGGCACTCCCCGATCTTCTGATTGCAAACCCCTTTTGCCATAACATCGATTCCACTGCCCTTCAAAGATCTAAGATCAAGAATCGCATCACAGAATGAGAAATGGGTTTGCAGGAAAAGAAGTGGAAGAAGGATGGAAAAAAGGAAGAAGAGAGTGGGATTTGGCATTTTGAAGCAGTTCTTCACTGTTTCGTCTCCTTCTCCAGCAAAATGGGCTCTGAATGTGAGATTTGGTTGAATGGTCATAAATAGTAATGCTTTTTTGCTTCCGTTTTACCAAAAGTAAAGGGAAACCCATAAGTTTAAAATGAAAATGAAACCTTTCTCAATCAACAGAAGCTCTTTGTTATCCATTGTCAACCACTCCTCAGAATCCACACAGACGAGGATTTTGCATATAATTTTATGATATGAAAAACATAGAAATTTCACTTTTTTAAAGAAAGGAATCTATTTCTTTTCTATAAGTTTAAAGAATAGTTCTGACTTTTGTATAAGTGATAACCTGAAATAGAGTTCTCTCTTTTGTGACAAGTCGATTGATGCTTATTCCATGCTCCTCGTGGATTGCAAGCAGCTAATTTTTTAAAAAAAGAAAAAAATATATTAATTATTCTATATTTCTCCAAGAAAATATATTAATTAACAGTTATTTGTTTAATTTTATTTACCAAAAATTATTTAAAAGAAAAATACTAAATAAAGAAAATTTGAATTACACAGTGAATAAGATGGACAGGTGTTATCCTGAGCTTACGATGGACTTTTAAAGCCCTGACCCGATCCGACCCGACCCGATCATTAATTATAATATTTATATATATTTTTAAAAAAAATCCCAAAAAAGGCAACTTTGGTCAGAAGGAGAGAGTGGGTTAGTCAATTACGTTTAGAAATATACTGAACTAATTTGCAAGCAAAAACAAAAGAATTAAATCAAATGTAGAGATGGAATTTAACATAAGGAATTTAATAATGAGTATGCTCAATATTTTGTTCATTTACTTTTCAATACCATTATACTTAAAAAGGATCAAATAATGTTAAAAATGTAATAAAAAATTTTAATACTTTTATTTTTCAAGATTTATTAAGAAATCAAAATTCATCCAAAGCAAACGACCTAGAAAATGGGACCCGACTTAAATATGGGATCTTTTTCTGCATAAATATGATTTTATAGAAAAACTGAATTCCTATGCTGATATATTAAAGTTGTGGCAAGAAATAAAGCTTGGAACAGTCTGATGAATCAGAATTTAGTGTAATTTATTGCTAGTTTGAATTAGTCAACATATTCGTAATCAGTTAATATTTGGAGAATACATTAGTTATAGAATATATCTTAGATACTCATTAATATTTTTTCGTTTATGATTTGATTATTAGTATATTTTATTTTATTTTATTCTCAAGATTTAGTTAGTTTATATTTTTTTTTATTGGTAGGTATTAGTTGGTAGTTTGTATCCTATTTAAACATTATGAATATTCGATCCCAATTCTATTTCATATTCTTTAACTCTGTATTGTTTCTTTGGATAACAATCTTTTACAGATCTATTCACACTTTTGAGTGGTAGATATTGTGTCAGTTGGTATCAAAGTCAAGGTGGTAACCAACGGTTTGATATTATTACTCAACGAGATGAATGGTGGAAGTGCTCTTATGAGTATAGCTATGGAAAAGCTTTTTGGCAATAATTATAATTATTGAAAGTTATGTATGGAAGGTTATCTACCCATGCAAGATTTGTAGGATTTAATTGGAGATAATGCAAAAATTCATACTACACAATGCTAAATTACGCCGAAAATAGAAGATCAAATGTGGAAAAACTTTATTTACCTTTCAAACTTTGATTAGCAACAAATATATTGATCATGTTCGTGATTTAACGTCACCAAAGAAAGTGTGAGAAACACTTCAAAAGTTGTTCACTAAGAAAAATACAGCTCAATTGTAATTTCTAGAGAATGAACTAACTGTAGTAACTAATTTTTCTGTAGAAAAATATTTCTTAAAAGTGAAAAATCTGTGATATGAAATTTCAGAATTAGATGCTGGGGACCAATGAGTAATGCTCGATTACGACGTTATCTTATTCGTGAATTACGAAAAAACTTTATGTCATTTGTTTCCTCAATACAAGATTCGCCTACAGTTATTGAATTGGAGAATTTGTTTTCTAATAAGTATCCTTTGATTAAGTAAATGACTAGCAGCAACGAGCTTTCTCTAAAGTCAGAAGATGTGTTATATGTCAAAAAGATCAAAGGAGACAGAATTTTCATTCAAAGCCTTCATCATGTAATGAGAATTAATTCAGAAGTGAGGAGTCGTCAACTAAGCCATTTAAAATTTGTTACAAGTGTGGAAAACCTGGTCATTTCAAATGAGATTGTCAGGTAAGAGTGGTGTGTGATCTCGTTTAAACTGAGATTTTTCACTTTCATGAAATATTCTTCAACAGAAAAATTATCTTGAGTTACCACCGGTAGTTCATTCTTTGGAAATTGTAACTTAACGGTATTTTTCTTAGTGAACAACTTTTAAAGTGTTTCCCACACTTGTTTTGGTGACTTTAAATCACGAACATGATCAATATATTCCTTTCTAATCAAAGTTCACAAGGTAAATAAAGTTTTTCCACATTTTATCTTCCATGTTCAGCATAATTCATCATTCTCAATTAAATTCCACAAATCTTGTCCTATACATAAGCTTCCATACATCAGTTCCAATAATTATAATTATTGTGAACAAATTTTTACAGAGCTATACATATAGAAGCACTTCCATCATTCATCTCGTTGAGTAATAATATTAAATTGTTGGTTATCAACTTGGTTCTAATACAACCTGACACAATATCTATCACTCAAAAGTATGAATAGATTTAAAAATATTACTACCAAATCAAACCATAAATACACAGTTAAAAATAAAAAATAAAATTGGGATTCATCTATATTTAAAACGTTTAAATAGGATACAAGCTGCCAATTAACACCTTAAAAATAAGAAAAACTAAATCTTAAAAATAAAATAAAATATATTAGGGTTCAAATCATAAATTAAAAAATATTAACAATCACAACTATATTCCACAACTAATATATTGCCCCAAAGTTATCTTAATTAATGCATTTGTAACTTTTTCAGTTCAAATCATGAGAGACGGGAATAGCAATCAGAAGCACAGTTGTAAATTTTTCAGTTCAAATCATGAGAGAAGGGAATAGCAATCAGAAGCACAGTTAAGCTTAAGCAGATTAAGAACGATTACTTAATCAATTTTACCTCTGATCTTCGAAACTGGAGAAGGTTACAGTAATCGCAATTTATCAATTGGTCCGGACTGAAAACTCCATTGAAGTGATACGCGCAGCTTCTCCAGTTTCTTAGACAACTACTTCCGGCCTAAACCATTTTACATAATTAACCTCTTCCTTCTTGTAAGGCAAGGCAGAAGAACCGCAATGGCGCTGAAATTTCGATTGGACCGCGTTGAATTATAAATTGCATCAAAGCGTGATACAGAAACCCTAAGAACCGTAGCAAGTGAAGGCTGAGATTAAGCGGTAGAAACGAAGAAGAAAACCGACGAAAACAGAGAAGAAAAAGCCATTTTAGATGAAGAAGGCTGGAATGTGTGAGAGAGAAGTGAAATTTTTGCTATTTATATAAGGTGAAGTATTTTCGTAGACTACGCTACGCGGACGGCTTACGGTTTCAATCGTGGGCTTCAATTCAAGGCCCAAATAGAAGCCCACACACCAAGTTGTCTAGATGTATTTTCGGCCCATTAAACTAATCAAAACGACTTAGGAAAAGAAGGTCAATTTTAACAATTCAAATTATTAATTTCACTTAAATAAACGTAACTTTTAATGCTTCTTCTTCAAATGGCAAGAAAATAATTTGGGATTATTACTTTTTTTTTATTTGGAAAATGATTTATCACATTCTATCAATAAAAAAATAATTATTGATATGAGAGGAGGGTGAACAAAATGATCCTAACTCATTCGAGATTAGGGTTTGTTACTGTTTTAGCGGGTCAAAGGGGCCATTTCAACTCGTATCTGTTCCTAAAAGGCAACTGTATTCACAACAACACTACACTACTCCCATGGTGCAATCAAAATGAAGTATCTATCAAATATTTTTCTCAAAATCTACTCGTCCATATTCATATTCATATTTTATCGACATGCTCACTAAAAATACCAACGTTTCATCAATTTTGATATTAAATCATTGGCTAACATAGCTTGTTCAACAACTCAGAGTGTAGATCTTTTTCATCAGGAAACTAGAATGAACAAAGACAAAACTGCCACATCTTGGTCTAGTGGTCAGTAAAAGTCGATGTAAATAGAGAAATCGGAAATACATTCAAGCTACGTAGTCGTCTATTTAAGATTTAATATCATACAAGTTTGTTCGATAACTAAATTTTGTGCAGTAACGGGTGCAAACTAGCTCAAGCACTTACAAACGTCTAAAAAGAAATGATTAAAGAAAAATAAAGAGGATTCATAGGCTCCAAGACAATTTATTCCAGAGAGTGCACTCAACTTCCAAAATGGTTAAGCAACTCAGCATAGACACATGTGTGTGTGTTTCTTAGCAAAATTTTCCATGAATATACAGATGAAGTATTCGAGGTAAGTTGTGGTGAAGTCATCTCTAAGCTAAGGTATTTAATAAGTTGTAAAATTGACCTTCCTAATCACTCTCATGAATGAACGCCATTATGCACGGTTGTAAGCGTACCACGAAGATGTTAGGAATCATGAATCTACACAATGGTATTGTGTATGACATTGTCCACTTTGAGCATATGCTCTCGTGGTTTTGCTTTTGGTTTCCCCAAAGGACCTCGTACCAATGGAGATATATTCCTTACTTCTAAACTCATGATCAACCCCTTAATTAGCCGAGGTGGGACTCCACTCCCAACAATCCTCAACAGATCTCAGGCAACAACATACGAGTAACTCCGAAAAATCACAAAGAACCTAGAGAAAGTAACAGCAAATCCTAATCAGACTTCACTAATTGTTAACTGAATGTCAAAACTAACTATGTGATCTATAGAAACAGAGAAACCTACATTAAGTGTTAGAAAACCTTTGGAATTACCTCAATAGTCAAAGAGATAGGCCTGATCTTCCATCATCTGTCTCCTTGTATAGATTTTCCCTGTGGTTAGAATTTGCCTCTTCACTTTCAGGACAACCTGGTCTTTCGGTAAGAAACTGTTCCCAGAAAACATCATTGACCCTGATAGGAGCAGCTGGAGGTCCACGATTGTTCTTTGAGGTGTCTTGGGGACAACCCAGTCTCATATCTGATTCTTTTCCATTTGAAGTTACCTTTGAATCTGGGGATTTTCGAACATTCTGACTCAGTTGTGGAGTTCTAACTGAACAAGAAGTGTCGTTGTTTCGCAGCGAAGAAGAAGCCAGGGTGAGATTCAAATGGCAGGAGATGTGACTTTCTCCATCTTCTTTGGAACTAACATATGGTTGCAATAAGTGCAGAAGTGGGCTCTTGTCATTAGGTGATTTCCCTGACAAAGACGAATCCCTCTTCAATATAAACGATGCCCCAGTGTCTGAGAGATCTAATGTTTCAGCTGCAAAATGAAGATGTTCTTGGACAGCTCTTGACATATTTCGTTGTGAACTTCCCCCTTCTTCATTTGAACTCTGAGTGCTACATGAAATCAAGTTAATATCTGATGCACATGAAGTTTCTAATCTCAGCTTATGTGAGAAATCTTGATGAAAAATATTCCCAGGCTCAGATTTGGAACTACAATGGCTATCCAAAAAACTGTTTTCGATGACTGGCTGTGAATGATCAGCAGAAGGCAGTCGTCTCTTTTTGTTAAATGCTGTGAAGTCCTTAGACTCGACCCTTCGAGCAAGATGTTCAACAAAAGAAGGGTTCTGTACAGCCTTTTCTAAGAAAGCCAATAAATTCTTCTGCCTTTTTTCCACGCTTTCCACCTTCATCGTTAGTTCTTGCAACTGAAGTTTAGCACTCGATTTTTTCTGTTTGAACCTTGAGATATTAGCTTCAATTGTTGTTTTTTCACTTGATAGCCTCCCTATTTCATCTTCAAAAGCAGCTCTTTCTGGATCTACATGAGATCCTTGAGGATTACTGTGACTGTGAATTGGTTTCCGACGGTGGATGTTCTTCAGCAGATGTTTTTCATCCTTTATGAAATCTTCATTGGCAAATTCCCACCTCTCAGCATCTTTCTTTCGAAAGCCCTGCCAACAAAATTTTCAAACCTCTCAAGTTTAGGCTACCTTTTAATCCCATAGTCACTTCAGTTTTTCAAAACGAAAGAATGATATAATTTTCTTGTAAAATGAGGTGTAGAACAGTAGCTATTCAAGAGATTTTAGCATGACAGATGGAAAAATCATTCCCTCCAAAGGTCCATTTCTTTATATATGAATCACGTAATAAGAAATTGAGAGCGCAAGGGTTCTTGTAGTAGCTCAACTAGAAAGATCTGTTGGAAAATTCTTCTTAGAAAACTTCCCAAAGAAGGAGGCGATTTGAGAATCTCGAAGCTAATAGATTGCGTAACAGAATATGATTAACAAACGGAATTTGGTTTATCAACGCAACTCGTGATATGTAATTAGTTAAATCCCTACGAATTACATCAATTGAAGCTCGTAAATACAGAAACAACTGGAAATGGAATAAATACAGAACAATTAAGAATCGCTAAAACGCATGAGATGAATGTATTATGTTTAAACACATGCATATTATGTAAATGAGGGAGAAAAAACAGCAATAAAACCATTATTACGCAATAAGGAACATACTCAACGATCAATTAACGGGAGGAAGAAACTCAAATCACCAAGACGACGAAATCAGAACACGGAGCGAAAGAGGAATTTCAGAAACTTACGTAGGTATTAAGCTGCCGAATGAAGCTGGAGAAGTTGTTGTGCTTGAAAAACGTAGGAAGAAGAACGCGAGCGAACTCAGGGGGATTCCAGACCACAAAGCTGTTCTTGGAAGAGGACCATGAGACGATCTCGTCGGTAGCCGAGTCATCAACCATTTCATAGGTCTTGATGAGAAACGGCGCCGGACCAGCGCCGCCAGCAGCTGCCTCCATTAGCCGTAAACGACGGCGGATCAGGATCTGAATTGATCACCAAAAGCGGCGGAGACCGAATTGAAGTGGAGAATTGGAGATGATGATTACGGAGGTAGAGGATGAAGATGGTGGTTAGTTTTTGGTGTGTAATCGACCGGTGAGGTTCTTCAACAAGATTGACTTTGAGCTCATTAGTTCTTTATTTTCTGTGCTAAAAATAAATATGAAATTCCAAAAAAAAAAGCTACCTACTATTTGTCTCGGTGACATTGGTAAACGGGTGGAGAGGGGTCGTTGGAGAATTTGGGAATACTTTTTTCTTTAAATAATTAAAACCTTTTTTATTTTTTATTTTGTTTTTTCAAACCCTACATTTTAATCTAAATTTTAAGAAAATGGTTTATTCTATCTCAATTTTCTTTTATATCTTAATGGAGAGGAGTTGACTTTATTTTATAATATTTTTTTCTCCCCTTCCTCGTTGATAGCTCTTTGTTGTATTTCATTTGAAAACAGGAACAAAGAACTTGAGTGAATCTCTTGAAAGCAAGCAGAAAATCTCTTATGTTACAAGGGATATGAGTGAGCACAAATCAATCGTTTCATATCCAAAGGACGTGAGTGAGTCCCTCGAAAACAAACAGGGAATCTCCTGTGTTACAAGGGATAGCATGGAATCTCCCATGTTACAAGGGACGTGAGTGAGTCCCTAAAAAACAAACAGGGAATCTCCCAATCAATTGTTCCAAATCCAAATGACACGAGTGAGTCTCTCAAAAGCAAACAGGAAATTTCTCGAATGTGAGTAAGCATAGAGCAACTATAGGAGCAACAGAGGACTGGAAGAAAAGAGAAAAGGGACATTATAAATATTTTAAATGGGTACATAATTAAGGTAATTTAGCCTAATTTTATTCATAAATCTAACCCATTTTTAAACTTTTGTTCCTGTGGTACTCAAAGGAATCCAACAAAAAAAGAAAAAAAAAAGAACAAAAAAGAGTACATATAGAAATGGGAAGCAAAAAGAATGAGGAGATCTCAAAATCCCCAAATTGCTCCACCACCAAGGCCAAATCCCATGTGAAGGTTAAAAGAGAGAGAGAGGAAAAGAGCCCCCAGTCCCCAGTCCCCACGCCAACGCCATCCATCCTTCCACCCACACCCACCCACCCACCCCACCCTTGGCGGCGGCTTACATGCCCATCGCCCACCATCCCATCACCCGCCCCGCCCAATCCACTTTCGCCATGTCACTACTTTCCCTCCTCCTCCCCTGCGCCCCACGCGCACTTTATCACCTCCCTCCCCCGGCGCACCTTAGCCCTCCCCCCTTAGCGGTGGTCTCATCCTCAAATTCCTCCCTCCTTTCCTCTTTCTCTCTCTCTCTCCGCCGCTCTCTCTTCTTCAACCCTCTTCGTCTCCCAGATCTACTCCCTTCCCCTTCTGGGTTCTCTCCAGATCTCTCAATTTTCCATCCTTTTTCGTGAATCCTTTATGATTTCCTCTGCCATGGGATCTCCTTCATCGCCGATCGATGGATCCCCCCCTTCTTCTCACCCTTCCAATCCGCTTCAAGCGCTGCCGCTTTCAGCTCCTCTGCCTCCTCCGTCCAATCCGCCGCCGCAGGCTACGGCCTCGTCTCGCCGCCTTCCGCCTCCCTGCTGGTCGCACGATGAGACGATTGCTCTCATCGATTCTTACAGGGATAAGTGGTATTCCCTTCGTCGGGGGAATCTCAAGGCCACACACTGGCAGGATGTTGCCGATTCCGTTTCACATCGTTGTCCTAACGCGTCGCCGCCGAAGACCGCCGTGCAGTGCCGTCACAAGATGGAGAAACTCCGGAAGCGGTACCGTACTGAGCTTCAGCGGGCTCGGTCTATGCCGCTTTCGCGATTTACGTCCTCCTGGGTTCATTTTAAGCGAATGGATGCTATGGAGAAGGGGCCATCCGCAAAGCCGGAGGAATCGGATAGCGGTGGGGAGGAGGAGGAGGAGGAGGATGAAGATGATCAAGAACTGTACGAAGAGTTTAGGAATGCTGGGGCTTCTGGGACTCGGAGTGTGAGAAAATTGTATGGAAATGGAATTACCAGTGGAGGGAGTAATAATGGTGGCGGTGGAAGTGGCGGAGATGGAGCCGCGGCAGGAGGATTTCGGATTCGAATTCCGACTGGTGTGAGTATAGCACAACCAGGGTTGAAAAATTATCCAAAAGCTGAACAAAAGATGAACCCTAATTCAAATCCAGGTTCAGGGATGAACCCTGCCGCCGTTAATTTCGGTACCAGAGTTGTGAGGGAGTCAAATCCGATGAGGCCGGTGACGGGGAAGAGATGGAAGAGGGAAAGAGAAGGAGATCCAGTTGCAGAGATGGTGTCCGCCATTAAAACACTGGGAGATGGGTTTGTAAGAATGGAGCGGATGAAGATGGAAATGGCCAGAGAGATCGAAGCTATGAGAATGGAAATGGAGATTAAACGTACAGAGATGATTCTTGATTCACAGCAGCGGATTGTGGAGGCTTTTGCCAAGGCAGTTACTGAAAACAAGAAGAAGGCGAAGAGAATGCCTTCTCCAGAGGCCTAAAATGGCTGCCCCTTCCTCCATTTTTGAGCTCAATTTGCTCAAATTCCAATGGGGTTTTCTTCCTTCCTCTCAAAAGATGATTGGTTGTAGAGAATATCAGGTTCTGAAACTCGACAATGATCCTAGTTAGGTTCTTCCTCATGTTTTGTTCCACTTTTTTCTTCTTCTACATTGTTCTGTTCATCTTTGACTGGATTAGCTAGATTGTGATTGTCTAATCAATGTAGCCATAAACAAAAGCTTTGATAAATTTTCACATATAGAGGTAAATTATTATTACTATTCAGTTTGGTTGTTCTCTGCAAATTCTAGTCTCATTGTTCATCTGTTCAACATGAAGAACAACAAGCTGTTCTTCCTGTTTGTTTTGTTCTATCTGAAACTTCTGAACTTGCTGCAGTTTGTAGCTTCCAAACATGTTGAAGGGAGTTTCAAACTGTGAGAAAGAATCAGATTTTTTTTTTTCGTTTCTTTTTCTGTTAAGTTTTTGTGAAGAAGAAGATGAAGATGAAGATGAAGCAGGTGTTTGAACTTCTTGTAGCTGAGTGGTCTCTTGAGCATCTACAGCTTTATCCTTGTCTTCGACTATTTTTATCGGGGGAGGCGGCTGAAAACTCTTTTTTCTTGAAACCAAAAGACGAGCACTCTTTTGTTTTTAAACTCGAGGAATGGTACCTGGGTAATGAACTTGAGGATCAGGCATCTCCGGAAAGAAGGAACTCTAGGAAACACTTTCTTGAAACAGGACGTGCAACGGTATAAGGGTGATGAGCTTGAGGATTGGGCGTCTCAAGGGATGAAGGAACTCTTTTTTCTTGATACTAAAGGACGAGTGACGGTACTAGGGTGATGAGCTTAAGGATCAGGCGTCTCAAGGGCGACATAACTCTTTTTTCTTGAAATTAGAGGACGAGTGTCGGTACCAGGGTGATGAGCTTAAGGATCAGGCGTCTCAGGGGCGACGTAACTCTTTTTTCTTGAAACTAGAGGACGAGTGACGGTACCAGTGTGATGAGCTTAAGGATCAGGCGTCTCAGGGGCGACGGAACTCTTTTTTCTTGAAACTAGAGGACGAGTGACGGTACTAGGGTGATGAGCTTGAGGATCATGCGTCTTAGAAGCGAATGAACTCTAAGAAACTCTTTTTTCTTGAAACCAGAGGACAAGCAACGGTATCAACGGTATCAGGGTGATGAGCTTGAGGATGAGGTGGTGTAGGAACCCTTTTTCTTGAAACTAGAGGACGAGCAACGGTATTAGAGTGATGAGCTTGAGGATTAGGCGTCTCGGGCATGAAGGAGTCTCTTGAGTATCTGCAGCTTCAGGGGATGGATTGATGGGTGAGTTCATTGGCTGACCATTTTTTCTCTTAGAAAAGGCCAAATTCTTTTGGATTTCTTGGCGTTTGTGTTCATGGCCTTCGAAACAATGAAGTCCTTTTTTGAGCTTCAGATCGGCTCAAAAGTGCTCGGGAGTGATTGTAAGGAGATGTATTAGAAAGTGCTTTTACTTGCACTCCTAAGCTCTATAAACTTTTTAGAAAATTATATAATTCAATAAGTATTTGAAGAAAATTTAATTAGAAAAAACAAAAAACAAAATAGTTATCGAGCTTAATTGTTCAACATGCCCGATAGAGAGTTATTTAAAGACGTTTTGGTTTAAAGAGGATGACCCGTGTTTATAAACTACAAAAATCAAGCACGTTTACTTCTTGACCCCATCTAAAATCTTATTCCATTTTCTGTTCATCGGGCCCACATGCCTCTTTTTCTTTTTTGATGATGAAGTTTATCTCCGATCATCTCATTTGTCGACTTTGACCTCTTATTTTGAGATCATATCTAATATTCAGGGTTGCCTCGATTTGGTACTGCTCTTATGGCTCGTACTAAATGTGCTTTACTCTTGGATGTCCGGTTAATGTTTATTTTTATTTATTTATTATTATTATTATTATTATTTTTAATCTATTTAAGTAGGTTAGAAAAATTATTTTTCATATTTTGATATTTTTTTAATATAATATAGTATAATAATACTACATTTTAGTATTAATATTTTCTTTTTTTGGATAAAATAATGAGTTAAAAATAAATATATATCATCCTTTACCGAATTGAAGTAATAAAGAAAAAAACGCATCATATCATACGCGCCATCAGACGGTGATTAAAACGCTCACACGGTAAAGGCGTGGTCCAAGTGGCACAGACAAGTAACTCCTCTTGGCTTATAAATCACGTCCTCGTTATTAGGGTTTCTAATTTTCCACCGCTCTATATGTGCTCAATTTCTTATCTCTCTTCCATTGTTTCTAGGGTTTTTTTTTTCTTTTTTTCTTTAATCTTACGATTTTGAAGCGCTTGTATTTCCGAAAAGATTTCGTATTTCCACCACACGATTTGCATCTCTCAGAGCTTATAGGGCTGTACATCTTCGACGTTTCAGATCTCTGTAGTTGTTCTGATAATTCTGCGAATTTCTTGAGATGCCTCCAAGGACGGTAAAGAGAGGGGGGGCGTCGGCAGGTTCGAAGAGAGGTGGGAGGGTTACCAGAGGTACGCCGAAGAAGCAGGAGAAGCAGGAGCCGGCGGTGGAACGGGAGGTTG